CCTGAGAAAAGCAACAGAAGACTGCCTGAGTGTTTGGGCCCCTGCACCCACGTGGGAGACTGGGATGAAACCTCTGGTTCCTGGTTTCAGCCTGGCTCAGCCCTGGTATTGTGACCACCTTGGGTGTTAACCAGTGGATGGAAAACATCTCTCTCTATACAGCTCGTTCAAATAAATAATTTTTTTTAAAAAAGATTGCTATTGGGTCTATGCAGTAAATAATTAAGATACTCTAATATCTTCAATGTCCTGAGCAATCTTCCCCAAAACTGCAGCCTCATGACAGACATGATCTGTGCAGCAAGGTAGAGATTACCACCAACCCACCACACCGGAACAGTGAGGGTCCTTCCTGTTCTCTGAATCAAATGCCTGTCTTAGAACCTCTTACCTGCAATACCCCTGTCCTAGGACCAAATTCAATTCAATTCGAGATTTTGACTTCAAGTACAGAAATCCATTCAAACTGGCTTAAAAAATAAGTTAACTTTTCCCAGCAAGTTCAGAAGTCATCATCCTCTATCAGGGTTAATTGGTTCTGTGACGCCACATGTCATCAGGCATTCAGGTTTCTCCCATCTGCTGCTCTGCTGTACTTAGTGTTAGGATGATCCTAATATTGGTCTCATTATTCTCCCCAGGGTGCTAGTTTCAACAGCAAGAAAAGGAAGTCTCCTTGTTCATATCTGATTGGTTTCTCTTCCCCAGAGACCTAAAGCCTCAGTGTGTCACTGGTCCACATCAGCTCAGTTTTGCCTGTTCTTGGAAATAAATATCAATAATATGAATAAAATTAACCATGGCTGACTCAGGCTACATATCTGGGGCAAAATGTAAATCCAGCCATTAAGTACAGATTCAACCACAGCATCGAGCTGAGAACAGGCAGTATTTAAAATGATTATCCTGGGGGCCGGCACAGTGGAGTAACGGGTAAAGCTGCCGCCTGCAGTTGCCAGCATCCCTTATGGGTGTCGGTCCAAGTCCTGGCTGCTCCACTTCCTATCCAGCTCTCTGCTTTGGCTTGGAAAAGCAGTGGAAGATGGCCCAAGTGCTTGGGCCCCTGCACTCGCATACGAGACCTGGAGGAGGCTCCTGGCTCCTGGCTTCTGATCAGCCCAGCTCTGACTGCTGTGGCCATTTGGGGAGTGAACCAGCGGATGGAAGACCTCTCTCTACCTCTAACTCTTTCAAATAAATAAATAAATTCTTAAAAAGAAGTAAAATTATCTTTTCAGATGTTTGATATTTTCAAAAGTTACCTTAAACAAAAAAAGGCTAAAATGATACCAATACTCAGAGCAGGAGACTTAATAAGAATTAAACTAAGCTTGCTTTCTACTCATTAAGGCCAGCTAAATATTGAAGACTTACTTCAGATCTTCTCTCAAGACTCTTAGGAGGAACAACTGGTTCCTTATATGTGCACCCACATCTTTATTAAAACATTACATTATTTTACATTTAGCTGTATATTTCTCTACTAAAATAAAAACTTTTTAGGGCCTCTGAGAAAACTCTTCTTTGTTTTCTGAAGATATCAGAAATAATGTCAGATGCAGTAGGCACTTAAATTTTAATGAGTGATCAAACAGACATTCAGATTATTGATATGTTTTTGCTGATTTCACGCTTTAGTAGTAGACACAATGGAAATAAGAAATGGAGACTGTGGCTGATGTTAATGTCCCTGCTGCTCCAGTTCTGATCAGCTTCCAGCTAATGGCCTGGGAAAGCAGCAAAAGATGGCTCAAGTACCTGGGCCCCTGCCACTCATGTGGGAGACCCAGAAGAAACTCCTTGCTCTTGTCTTTGGCCTGGCTTGACCTGGCCATTGCTGCCATTTGGAGAGTGAACCAGAGGAAAGATCTCTGTCTCTCCTCTTCTTTCTGTAACTCTGCCTTTCAAATAACTAAGTAACTAAATAAATCTTTCAAGAAAATAAATGAGACTGATATCTTTTTAAAGTTATTCACTTGTTCTGAGAGTGTAGATATATAAATTTATTCTTTCTCCCCTAAGAAGACTGATAAAAATTAAAGCCAGAGACAGTCACTTTTCACTTCTCCATTGTATTATCCTGTCCTGCTAACCATTCTGTTTATTTTTTGTTTCCAATTTTTCCTTAACATTACTTCCTGGTATCACTGATTTTGGAAAGTGAGATAAAAGATTAATTTGACATTTAAACTCCCACTGTGTTGCCAGATTGTTTTATACCATGGACACAAAAACAAAGATAAAACTCACATTATAGTAAGTTTATAGTAAGGGAGAAGAGAACAATAAACATAATGCCTTAAGTCCTATATGGGGAGGGTCCGGCACTGTGGCATAGTTGGTAAAGCCACTGCCTATGGTACTGGAATTCCATATAGGCGCTGGTTCAAGTTCTAGCTGCTCCACTTCCGATCCAGTTCCCTGCTAATGACCTGGGAAAAGCAGCAGAAGATGGCCCAAGTGTGTGGGGCTCCTGCATCCTTGTGGGGGGCCTGGAAGATGCTCTGACCTCCTGGCTTTGGCCTTTTGCAGCCATCTGGGGAGTGAATCCACGGATAGAAGATTTCTCTCTCCGTCTCTCCCCCTCTCTCTGTGACTCTGACTTTCATATAAACAAATAAATGTTTTTAAAAAGTACTATGGGAAACAAATTTGAGTGAATAAGAAGAGTTAAGTCCTATTGTAGTTGGTCATTAGATACATGTCATGTACCACTGAGTAGTTGTTTTTACTTTTCTGTAATACTAATAGGGATTATGAAGAATAAAATTTTAAATGTCTTCAAAGAACCAAAATCAAAAACCACATCAGGAATTCATTTTTCATCAATTTGTTCTTTCAATCCAGAAGTGATAAGATATATTCAGTCCCTTCTAATGTCACTCAAAGCAGTGGTTTTAGAGAAAAAAATATGCCACAACTAATTTTGTCATGTTTACCAATTCTAAATCTCCAAACTGACACCAAGTAAGGCACCATGTCTAAGTCAAGAAAAAATGATTTAAAACTAATAAAACAACTCCTAAACATTCCAAAACAGGTTCCCTATGTGTGTCCAGCAAGTTATAATTAGGTTCTAAGTTAAACTGCAAAATGGTAAAGGAGGCAAGACTGAAAAAATGAAAAACACCAAACCAAATTTGTACTTACACAAGATCTATCCTATTAATACAAAATATTTATACTGGGGGCTGGCACTGTGGCGTAACAGGTAAAGCTGCCACCTTCAGTGCCGGCATCCCATATGGGCACCGGTTTGTATTCTGGCTGCTTCACTTCTGATCCATCTCCCTGCTGTGGCCTGGGAAAGCAGTAGAAGATGGCCCAAGTCATTGAGCCCCTGCACCTGCATGGGAGACCTGGAAGCAGCTCCTGACTCCTGGCTTTGGGTTGGCACAGCTCCAGCCATTGCGGCCAACTGGGAAGTGAACCAGTGGATGGAAGACCTCTCTCTCTTTCTCTGCCTCTCCTTCTCTCTCTGTGTAACTCTTTCAAGTAAATAAATAAATCTTTAAAAATATATTTACACTGAGAATTTTGCATTTGCAGTTATTTTTGTTGTCAAAATACCAATATGCTTTCCAGAAATATTATTTAAGTGTCCAAAATAGTGGAAGCCGCCGAGAAAGACTGGTTTTAGTGGAATAGTTGGAAAAAGACAGACACAATAATCCGAAATTAAAACATCAACTCAGGGCTGCAGTTGTGGCACAGCAGATTAAGCTGCTGCTTCCAACATGGCATCCCCTAAGGGTGCTGGTTTGAGACTCAGTTGCTCCACTTCTGATCCAGCTTCCTGCTAATGCACCTGGGAAAGCAGCAGATGGCCCAGCTGCTTGGGACCCTGTACCCAACCAGATGAAGCTCCTGACTTCAGTGTAGCCCAGTCCCAGATGTTGCAGCCATTTGGAGAGTGAACCATCAGATGAAAATCTTTGTCTTTCCCTCTAACCCTGCATTTCAAATAAGTAAAATATTTTAAAATACTTATTTGATTTTTTAAATAAAAGACTTATTTATTTGAAAGACAGAGTTACAGAGAGATGTAGAAACAAAGGGAGAGAAAGAGAGATCTTTCATCCGCCAGTTCCCTCCCCAAATGGCTGCCAATGGATGGCCAATCTGAAGCCAGGAGCTTCCTCTGGGTCTTCCACGTGGGTGCAGGGTTCCCAAGGACTTGGGCTATCCTCCGCCTCCTTCCCAGGTGCATCAGAAAGGACCCGAACCGGAGCCCACATGGATGCCAGCCCTGCAGGCTGGGGTCTTAACCTGCCGCACCACAGCACCAGCCCCTCTTTATTCATTTGAGAGGCAGAGTTACAGACAGAGAGAGGGAGACACAGAAAGAAAGGTCTTCCATCCTCTAGTCCACTCCCCTATTGGCTGCAATGGCTGAAGCTAGGAGACAGGAGCTTCTTCTGGGTCTCCCATGTGGGTGCAGAGGCCCAAGCACTTGGGCCATCTTCTACTGCTTTCCCAGGCCATAAGCAGAGAGTTGGACTGAAAGAACAGCAGCTGGGACATGAAAAGGCACCCGCCTGGGATGCTGGTGCTCAGCTGGAGGCTTGGCCTACTATGCCACGGTGCTGGCCCCAATAAAATATTTAAAAAAAAAATCCAACTCAGTCTCTTAATAGTTGGGAAAATGGAAAAGAAGTTACTTTCTGATTACTTTAGCTGTTGTTTTAGGGAACTACAAAATGGCTGCTTAATAAACAGTGATGCATGCTTCTGAAAAAATTTATCAAGATCAAAAAATTGGAAGGGGATGTCTGAAATCTGACTACAATACATGAAACTTACTAATAAAATTTGACAAATTTTACACTTAACCTTTTTGATATTATAAGAGCTATGAGAAGGTAACAAAATAGTTATCTCTACTTATTTTCTTGGTAATACTTATTAAATCTCAAATGGCAGAAGTAAATTAGCATAAGACTGCATAGAAAATAGAACTAAAACAAAATCTCAAACACATTTAGGTCATGGTAACTTACCTCTTAGCAGTGAATTTTTTTTCCAGATCTTCATTGTGGACAAGTTTTGTGTCACCAAACTGCCACGACAATTGCAGATCACAGCTTACATCAAGCCTGCACTGGTTGAGAGTATCATGTATGAAACTATACTCTCTAGTATTGGTGCAACAAGGTGACAAATAAACTAGAGAGAAGAAAGAAAGTGGAAAGTCGTTATTTGTGTTTAAAATGACACTACTGTATATCTGTATCAACTATGTATCTGAAGACACAAAATAACCAAGTACTTAGAATTTTCATTAATTGAAGGCATCAATTTATATTTATCCTATTCTGAAACAGTAATATGGACTGTCTATATTTTATATAAATGAAAAAACATTACCCATATTTTTCTCTACATACCTATTAGAGTTCTTAAAAGTTGATATAGAGAATTCAAGTTACTCGTTTTCAAGTTAAGATGAAAACTGATTCTACAATGCACATCATTACACAAGCTACCACATAAATCTTTCTGTATTTCTAGAGAAAAAATGAGGTAATATACATACCAGAATCTGACTCAGTTATTTTGATTTGCAAAGGTACTAGAACACTTTTGTGAACTGCTGTCTGATACAGAGGCATGAGTAAGAGGAAATATGCATTCTAAGGACATTGAGCAATTTTAAAGAACACTATCATAATTAACTACATGCATAAAAGAATAAACACTCCCTTAAGGAAGAGGATTCAGAGGTAGCAGGCAAATACAGTTGATTCTTATTATTTGTGATAGTATATTCTATCAGAGTTAGTGAATACTGAACAACTGTTCTTAGAGGAAAGATTCCTGTGAGCATTGATCACTTTTAAGAACTGAAATCACATTTACACTATATAGTTTCATTTGCCAGCATCAAGACAGTCTCCTCAGTGTCGAAACTTGCTTTTCCACATAATCCTTTTCCTACATAACATTTTGCAGGTATTTAAAATGTTCTTTGCAAACCTCCTGATGTGTAGAACCAATTTCCCTGCAAGGTCAACATTTCTTCAGATGGTATCATTTCTTGAAATGAGCCAGCCAAACCCTAGGCGAGAAGGGCTTAAAAATTTCCTGACCTGGGTAATGCTGTTATTGAACTTCCTCTGGCTCTTAGTCTCACAACAACACTGCCCATTAAGCTTTTTTTAAGTCAGCCACCATCTCATAAATCTATTAAGTTAACTGCTTCTCACCTTTTCTTTTTAAAGATTTATTTGACAGAATTACAGAGAGACAGAGAAAGAGATCCTCAATCTGCTGTTTCACTACCCAAATGGTCACAACGGCCTCAGCAGAACCAGGAGCTTCATCTGGGTCTCCCAAGTGGGTACAGAGGCCCAAGCACTCGGGTCATCTTCCTCTGCTTCCCCAGGAACATTAGCAGGGAGCTGGATCGCAAGTAGAACAGCTGGTTCTCAAATCGGCGCCTGTAGGGGATGCCAGCATGGCAGGCAGTGGCTCAATCTGCCACAGCAAAATGCTGGCCCCTACTCAACTTTTCTATGGTCTCACCAGGCATTATAAAATGTTTCTTCAGCACTTTTTGCTGAGGCCTAACTACAAATTAAAGAATTTCTTCCTTTTTCAGGACGTACCACATTTTTTTTAAGATTTACTTGTTTATTTGAAAGGTAGAATTAGAGAGAGGCAGAGGCAGAGGCAGAGAGTGAGATCTTCCATGTGCTGGTTCACTCCCACATGGCCACAAGGGCCAGAGCTGGGCCAATCCAAAACCAGGAGGCAGGAGCCTCTTACGGGTCTCCACGTGGGTGCAGGGGCCCAAGGTTTGGGCCATCTTCCATTGCTTTCCCAGCCATAGGAGAGAGCTGGAATGGAAGTGGAGCAGCTGGGACTTGGCACCTATATGGGACGCTGGTGCAGCAGGCTGCGGCTTTACCCACTAGGCAACAGCACTGGCCCACCACATTGTAAATTCACTAAAACTGACTCAAGTCTGAAAGAAGATGACCTAACACATGAAAATTCTCTGTAAGGTAATCATAACCTCCTAACTTCAGCATCACACGGGGGCACATTTGTAACAGTGAAATCACTAATAAAAATGCAAAAGAAGTAGAGCTAAGACTATGCAAAGAACACTTACATAGTACCAAGAACTGAAAAGGAACGGCAGAACATCATCTCATTCGATCTTAGCTAGAAATATGTGCATCAGGTGATTCAAATTTTTGGCCCCATCCACATGTTTAAGAAAACATCGCTAAATTTCAATTTTGGACTTGGATACAAAGGGCATTGCTAAGTATTGACTGCAAATTTTAGCAAGCAGAAGGAATTTGCAAATATAAAATCCTCAAATTACTAGTATCAACCATATATAATGCTTAAGGCAATTTCTATATAAATGAATACAACTAACATAAAACTGTTCCTCATAAAAACTTATCAGTCTTATTGATAAAGTTAAAACAGTGCTAAAACTAACAGAAAACCAGATGATTTTCAAAAACAATTCATTCCTCATTCCTCTACCATTCTGTAATAATTGTTACAAATTTTGATAGTTTCATAACATAGCTTTATGTGCTGTTAATATTTTGACACAAATATAGTCACCCAACAATCACTACATGATACAGAACTGTACCATCACAAAAGGTCTCCTTTGTGACACTCTTTGATAAACATTCATATGTATGTTCATATTCATAATGACTCCCCTCGTTCCATTCCTCTGCCCTAACTCTAAATCCTGAAAATTATTCATCTGTCCTTCATCTTCATACTTTTGCTACCTCTCAGGGACAGTATGTAACCTGTGGAAACCTCATTTTTTTTCCCATTCACACAGTGCCCCTGAGATCAAAACCAGGTTGTTCTATGTATCAGGTCATTTCTTCATTGTTGAGTGGCATTCCATGACATGAATATGCCATAATTTAACATTCCCTCACTAGAAATTTGGGCCATTGTCAATTTTTGGCTATTACTACTGCATATGTCTAGCTTTTAAAGAAACTGTCAAACCGCTTTCCAGAGCAGCAGCGCTCTCTCACATTCCCACTGGCAGAATGTGAGTAATCTGATTTGGGTTCTCCACATTCTCACCAGCATTTGTCATTGTTATTCTTTCCAGCTGTTCTAACAAGTACGCAGTTATATCTCATTGTGGTTTTCATATGCATCTCCTTTTTTTTAGAGGAAAGGTTTATTGGGGGGTGGCGGAAGCCCGACAGGTGGGGGAGAAGGCAAGAGAACAGGTTCCGGAACAGGTCATATGCATCAGATATAATTCTGAACATCTCTTTATGAACTTATTTGCCACCCATAGATTCAATCTGATGAAAACTCTGTCCACATTACTATTATATTTTCATATTTTCTAATTGGATTATTTCTTGTTACTAAGTTTTGAAAGGGTTTATACATTCCAGATATTACTCCTCGGTCAGATCGATGATTTGAGGATGTCTTCTCTCATTCTTCACCTTTTCTCTTTCCCAACAGGGGCTTCCACAGAGGAAAAATGTCTGATCCTGATGAAGCCTACTTCATTGATTTTTTTGTTAAGATCTTCTGATTATGATTTTGGTACAATGTCTAAGAACTCTTCCTCTAGGCCAAGACCCTGAAGATGTCCTCCCATTTGCATCTAAAACTGTGTTTTACTGATTTATTTTTTGTCTGGTTCAGAGTGAATCTCATTTCTTGGCTTGCGGATGTCAGTTGCTTTAGCAACAGTTGATGAAGACTGCCTTTCCTCAACCGAATGCATCTTTATTAAAAATCAACTGATAGTCAATTAAACAGACTTGTGTGGGTCTATTTTTGAACTATTACATAGCTTCACTGATTTATGTGTCTATCCTCTGTCAATATCACATTATATTGAGTACTGTGGCCAATACAGTAAGGTTTAATTCTGGGTTAATAATTCCATATACCTTTTCTCTTCTATTTTAAATTGTTTTAGCTACTCTAGTTTCTTTGCCTTCCCATGATAATGTCAGAATAAACTTTTCTATTTACAAAACATATTGCAGGGATTTTGATAGGAACTGCAACTAAGCTATAATTTGTGGCAAGTCCACATCGTCACTGAGTCTTCTTTTTTGTTCCCCCAAAGATTTCCCTATTATTTGAGAGCAGAGTTACAGAGAGGCAGAGGTGCAGAGAGAGAAGTTTTCCATTTGCTGGTTCACTCCCCAAATGGCTGCACTGGCCAGAGCTGGGCCGATACAAAGCCAGGAGCCAGGAGCGTCTTCCAGTTTTCGCATGTGGGTTCAGGGGCCCAAGCACTTGCACCATCTTCAACTGCTTTCACAGGTTGTAGCAGAGAGCTAGATAGGAGGTGGAGCAGCCTAGACTTGAACTGGCACCCATATGGTGCAGCAGGGTGGGGAAGAAGCACAAGCCCAAGTCTCTGCTCTTAATTTTGTCTGTGATGAAAAAAGTGCAAGGGCCATGTTCTCTGCTTCACATCCCCCTACTTCAGGGTTTTTTACAAGAACAGGGTGGTTTAATATCACCTAGGTTTCTGTCTTTTTAGGCTGTCTCCCTCACTGTTTTGGCAACACAGAACAGCCTTTTTTGTGGGGGCAGGGATGGAATGGCTGTATACCATTCCGTATTACAGACATACAGTCTGAAACAGGAAGGAAACAGAAAATCTGGGGAACTCACTGCTATGTCATTCAATTAGTCTCATTTTCATAGCCGGCTCGTCTCTTCACATCTGAAAGCCTTTTTTTTTTTTTTTTGCTATAAATATATAGTGTCTAGGGATTTTAAGACATACTTACTGAGAAGGATATGAGATGTTTTCTATTCCATTTTGTGAGAAACTAGAAGTACATGTATAAATTTAAAGAATTAAAAATGTGATCTTATTTTACAGAGAGTCAAAGTAGAAAAGGAACATAAACTAAGAATCAGAGAAGTTTAATAGTAGTTATTTATAAAAATCCTATTGTCTACAGAAATTTTACCTTTCTCAGCTGTCTTCCTGATCTTGGGAATGGTAAATTTCTTTAAAGCACTGACTTCTACACCAGTAAATAATGAAGGTTCACTGGGTGAGCTCATTTTCCATAGCGCCTTGGGTTTAGTAATCTCTTTCATTTCCATTTTGTTGGAGGCCTAAAATCAATGCAAGTTATCAAGCAACAAGGTCAATTAATACACAAAAGGCAATGGCAGTAAGACCATTTAGAAGTTCTTAAACGGACTTTAATATATTCTTGGTCACACCATCAATAGGTTTCAACTCAATTTTCCAGGTTCCCCAAAACAGAAAATGAATTTACAACTTTGTTTTTATATACTATTAAAAACCCTTGTTCTTTTTCCCTGCTAACAGACCTTTTCCTTGTAATTCATGTAACTGGGTAACCAAAAGTTGTGTTCCTGAAAAGCTCAAAGACTTCCAGTCATTGGGCCGGCACCGCGGCTCACTAGGCTAATCCTCCGCCTGCGGTGCTGGCACACCGGGTTCTAGTCCCGGTTGGGGTGCCAGATTCTGTCCTGGTTGCTCCTCTTTCAGTCCAGCTCTCTGCTGTGGCCCAGGAGTGCTGTGGAGGACGGCCCAGGTCCTTGGGCCCTGCACCCACATGGGAGACCAGGAGGAAGCACTTGGCTCCTGGCTTTGGATCGGCGCAGCGTGCCAGCTGTAGCAGCCATTTGGGGGTGAACCAAAGGAAGGAAGACCTTTCTCTCTGTCTCTAACTCTGCCTGTCCAAAAAAAAAAAAAAGACTTCCAGTCATTAACAATTTTTACAAACATTTGGTAAAATCCTTGCCAAAAACTTTTTTTTAAAGTATTGTCTCTATACACTTTGTGACTAATCAGAATCTCTGGATTTAACAAAAATTTAAAAATGTCATAAAAAATTACATGACAATCTTACAGTTGATGGGCTGCACCAATCACGCATTAGCTACTCTTCCATAACATCATTCTACAGTTGAAAACACTTTTGCCGTATTTAACAAAGATGCTCCTCCATATTCCCTTTTCCGTCCTGTCTTCTCTCTCCAACCCTATTCTCCCTCTTTTTTTTTTTTTTTAACACAACCAAGTATCAAAGGAAACCTATAGAGTATCAAAGGAAACCTATAGAGCTCTGAAATATGTGGAAGCAGGCACTTCCCATACCATTTCATAATATAGTTCATGGGCCTCTAGATACCTATTAACTCCTTAGTTGAAACACTACATCACAATCCAGGTGGAGATGGCAGAATTCTACAGAATGATCACAATGGATAAGATTCTACATAATGTTCACAAAGGATTTTCCCCTCCATTCCCTACCCTTTTCCCCTCTGCCTCTTATAAAAAGGTGGTCTTGTGATCTATTTGCCAAATATGAATCAGAAGACAGAATGGACAGAGAACTCTAAAACAAGAAGTAGAAAATTAGTCCTCCTCACATCCAGTCACATCAGATACATCAATCAACTCCAGAGATAACTGCCAAAACTCCACTTTTCACATGGCAATGTAGTCGGTGGAGAAACCAACAAAGCCTCTTTAATTAGGATCTACATCAACAGCATATGAAAGTGCAGAACAATCAGCTGAAATATTTTACTTGGAGCCAACTGCTGAGACAATCCTCATTATTGCCTTTAACTACAGATAAATTATATATTCAGGAAAGCTGGATGACTTCAGCCATATGGTATCCTACAAGATGTTTCTGTAGTAGAATTTATAAATAAAGGAGAGACTTCTGAAACTCACTGATTTTGTTTCAGTACTTAGGAGCATAGTAATGATAGCATATTTTCAAAGACAAGTTAGCAGAAAATAAAATGAACTTTTATGTCAAGTGACCAAACTAGACTTAATCCCTTCAAGGTCTAGTTTAGGCTAACATTTATAGTGAGTTTCTTGGGTGTGTTCCTAAACACCAGAAACTTGAATACTTGAGATCACTTGGTTATGGACCATAGATTACAAAAAAAAAAAAAAAAAAAAAAAAAGAACCTGTTGTGTTTTACCTGATTACTATCAGTCCTTAATAACAAATGTTTTCAACTGAACTTAGAAATTCCAGTGTCCTTAACAAAATTCTATGGTCAGTTGTGATAAGTTTCCAAAAATGAGGCAATTGAAGGTAATTTGAAATATACAAAGCATTAGTATGTACAAAATTTTTTAGTACTTTTTTTTTTTTATTTGACAGGTAGAGTTATAGACAGTGAGAGAGAGAGAGATAGAAAGGTCTTCCTTCCATTGGTTCATTCCCCTAATGGCCACCACGGCCGGCGCTGCGCCGATCTGAAGCCAGGAGCCAGGTGCTTCCTCCCGGTCTCCCATGCGGGTGCAGGGTCCAAGCACTTGGGCCATCCTCCACTGCCCTCCCGGGCCACAGCAGAGAGCTGGACTGGAAGAGGAGCAACCAGGACAGAATCTGGCGCCCCGACTGGGACTAGAACCTGGGGTGCCGGCAATGCAGGCAGAGGATTAGCCAATTGAGCCACAGTGCTGGCCTTAGTACTGTTTTAAACTTCCACACAGATCATTTTGTCATTTATTTTTTAACATTGTTAAATGTTTATTAATCTTTCTTAATAAAAACAAACAATAGTTTCAAGGTCTTCTGAGAAACACTTTTCTTTTACCAATTCTTTTTATTTGTGCCAAATAATACTTTATGTCCCAAAATATACTTTTTTTTTTTAATTCTGGGTTTTTAAAAAAATTTTTTTAAATTTATTTGACAGAGTGAGAGAGACAGAGAGAAAGGTCTTCCTTCCATTGGTTCACCCCCCAAATGGCCGTCATGGCTGGAGCTATACCAAACCGAAGCCAGGAGCCAGGTGCTTCTTCCTGGTCTCCCACGTGGGTGCAGGCGCCCAAGCACCTGGGCCATCCTCCACTGCCTTCCTGGGCCACAGCAGAGAGCTGGACCAGAAGAGGAGCAACCGGGAATAGAACACGGCACCCATATGGGATGCTGGCGCCGCAGGTGGAGGATTAACCAAGTGAGCCATGGTGCTGGCCCCTTAAATTCTGTTTTAAAATATTAAAGACATTATTATTATATATCATTTCCCATGTTATCTCAGGAGAATTCCTGTTGCATAAATAATATTCTTGGAATTTTAGTCACAAACACAAATTCTATGTTGTGCAGAGTTCTAAATGGGACAGAATTGGTTCTGCTCAACATAATCAGTATAGATGATAAACTTAAACAGGCCAATTAAGTCAACAAGAATTCCTCACACAAGTCTACACAATGTAGATAATAAACATATTTTAGCCCAACTTTTCATTTTATAGAACATATGTTGGCAGCCTGTTGGCCAAATCCAATCCACTATCTGTTTTGCAAGTCGCACAAGCTAACAATGGCTTTTACACTCTAAAAGGACTAAAAAAAGTCAAGAATATTTGATGTCACATAATTATATGAAATTCAAATATCACTGTCCACCATTTTACTGGATGAAACATAGCCATACCCAGGCATTCTCTATTATCTATGGCTACTTCCCTGTTAGGAAAACTTGGTTGACTAAGTATGGCATAAACCCTCTGGCCCACAGAGATTAAAATATTTTTACTATCTATCACTTTACACAAAGTCTGCCAACCCTTTCATGGTGAAGCAACTTAAAGAGCTGGCATGAATGAAACCTGGGTCTCACCACTTCCACTTCAGGGCTCTTTCTCCTACACTGGCCATTGTCTCAATCGTCTCCTTAGCATATTCTGAATTTCATCACTTCTGTGCTTCTCTGTCTTCTTCCCAATAGCAGTAAACAGCCTCAAAGTTGATCATTTAAAAATAAATAGAATTGACTAGGCTCACAGGTGCTCTTATCTAGTTCATCTGCAGTCCCTCAATGATTACCTTCATTTCTGCCGTATTACTTTACCTAAACAGCGATCTTCAAAGTCATCAACAATTTCCCCAGCAGTCCCTTATTCCCATTAGCACATTTCTGGCTCATAACTGACTTTCCCTCTCTAAGTCTGAAAGTGGTAACACCACCCTTCTCCTGAAATAATGCACTTTCAAAACAGACTTCTATGACATCATAATGCTGACCTTACAGCTACTTCCCAGGTGGTGCTTTCTTAACTTCTCAGTTCACCATTCTCTACCTGGTCTTTACTGTTGCTTAAATCAATTTTTTACTACTAATAAAATAATTGTCTTTATTATTTCACCAAATATTATCTTAGCAAACTTGATACATAAAAATAGAACCTTGTGGTTTTAATTTGCCTTTTTCATTATCAGTGAGTTTGAGCTTTTTTTTTTCTGTGACTCACTCCTTGCCACCTTTTCTTGTTTATTTCCATTCTTACAGGGAAGAAGCATTTTAGTTAATGATTTGTAAAGACTTTATACAGAGAAGTTAGTTTTGTCTGTCAAGTGCACACATATTGTGAAATTTTTGTCTTTAATTTTGTTAAATTATTCCTACAGAAAAACTTTAATATTTTTATAACCCGATTTTTAAAAAAGATTTATTTGAAAGCAAAGTTACAGAAAGGCAAAGGCAGAGAGAGAGAGGTCTTCCATCAGCTGTTTCACTCCCCAGGTGGCTCCAATGGCCAGAGCTGAGCCAATACGAAGCCAGGAGCCAGGAGCTTCTTCCAGGTCTCCCACGTGGGTAGCAGGGACACAAGCATTTGGGCCATATTCTTCTGTTTTCCCCAGGGCATTAGCAGGGAGCTGGATCAGAAGTGTAGCAACTGGGACATGAACCAGGGCCTATATGGGATGCCTGCATTATAGGCGGTGGCTTTACCTGCTATACAACACCAGCCCCATAAGCTAACTTTTGAATCTTTTATTATACATTACCACCAGTAGTATACAAAACTTTCAGTTGTCCCATATATACACGTTTTCAAAATTTGTTTATTTGAAAGGCAGAGTGACAGAGAGAGGGAAAGAGATCTTCCATCCACAGGTTCACTGCCTAAATGGCTGCAGCGGCTGGGGCTGGGCCAGATCAAAGCTGGGCACTTCATTCAGATCTTCCACATGAGTGTAGGGGCCCAAGTACTTGGGCCATCCTCTGCTGCTTTCCCAGGCTCACTAGCAAGGAGCTGGATTGGAAGTGGAGCAGCTAAGACTAAACTGGTACTCATATGGGATGTCAACATTGCAGGCAGTGGCTTAACTGGCTGTGCCACTATGCTGGCCTAAGCTGTCCCATATTCTTACCAATACCTGATGTCAGAATATATTACTTTCTGCCAACTTGATAGGTATGAATGGTATCTCATTGTGGTTAGTTTATATTTCCCCAATTTTTGATGAGATGAATCACAAGCTCAGTATGTTCATTGGTAATTTGTGAAATCTCTGTTCATGATTTTTACCCATTTTTTTCATGAAGCTGTTTATTGTTTTGGAAGAAATCACTGTTATCAGGTACTATCTCTTTGGTTATGCATGTTGCATTTAATGTCCCTCAATTGTTAAATTTGTCTTCTTTTTTAAACAAATATTTAATGTAAACATTATGAACATCATCTATTTTGGGCTTTTTTGCTTGTGGTCAACTTTTTTTTTTTGACAGGCAGAGTGAGCAGTGAGACAGAGAGAGAGACAGAGAGAAAGGTCTTCCTTTGCCATTGGTTCACCCTCCAATGGCCGCCGCGGCTGGGGCGCTGAGGCTGGCGCATCGTGCTGATCCGAAGCCAGGAGCCAGGTGCTTCTCTTGGTCTCCCATGGGGTGCAGGGCCCAAGCACTTGGGCCATCCTCCACTGCACTCCCTGGCGACAGCAGAGTGCTGGCCTGGAAGAGGGGCAACCGGGACAGAATCCCACGCCCCGACCTGGACTAGAACCCGGTGTGCCAGCGCTGCAAGGCGGAGGATTAGCCTAGTGAGCCACAGCGCCGGCGCTTTTGGTCAACTTTAAGAAATAGCTGTCTCCCAGGTCATAATGATAATACCCTATATTCTCTTCTAAAACTTCTATAGTCTTACCTATCACCTGTAAGTTTTCACTTTGCCTCAAATTCATTTTTTATCAAAGGTAAGAAATAAAAGCTGAATTTTCCATAAGAATATTAAAGTCTGTTAGCATTTATTTCAATAACATTTCGTGTTTCTATTTTTTTGTGATGCCATCTTTGACATAAATTAACTTTGTATAAATGCATAAATTCTGGGCTCTTCAGTCTGTATCTCTGCACTACTGTAATAAATCTCATATACAAGTATATCTGGGAAAAGCAAAAGAAAAGAAAAAGAACCTTATTTTTCTATTGCATCTTTGCATTTACACACTTTTTAAAGAACTTTTATTTAATAAATTTCCAAAGTACAACTTTTGGATTATAGCGGGTTTTTTCCCCATAACCTCCCTCCCACCTGCAACCATCCCATCTCCCATTCCCTCTCCCATCCCATTCACATCAAGATTCATTTTCAATTATCTTTATATACAGAAGATCAATGTA